TAACTATTGACTATGGCTATTTAACTAAGCACTAATCAGTTAATCATTCAAAACGTTATTTGATGGAATTACATAGTACTCTCTTTCATCACCAATCATACCATATGCAACTATAACCAACTCATCACATTCAAATGTATTAATTGAATTTTGGTGAGATTAAAATTTGAAGGAAACAAAATATAATAATATGAGAATCTTGAACGGAAACTCAAACTAATCCTCATAATTTGTGGAAGAGCAGAGTATTCTTTGTCATTTAAAACATTTACATATCTATATATACATTTTTGGATCACAATTAGCAAATAAATCCTGAAGTTGAGAAGTATTTACAATGGCATGCCATTAGCATTAATTATTTAGATTTGTTTTATTTAAGTAAAGATTGTTAAATGAAATTCATTTCTCATATATTTAGCAAAAGTCTGTACAAAATCTTTCTTTATCTATTTAAGTAAAGATTTTGAAATCAAATATGTTCTCAACAATTTACCAAAAATCTCTACACAATCTTTTTAAAAATCTCGACTTAGTTAACTTCTGATTTTTATCTGCAAAAAAGAAAAAAATTAATAGTAACGAGTGATGTAAAAAATCGGGAATGTTGATATTACAATTTCTTCTACTTTTTTTTTTTTCATATAATGAAAATTATTTTTAGGGATACTTTCTCAAAACCTCTAAATAAAACAAAAGGTTTCAAAAGATAGCTTCTCTTTTGGCGGGTCGACACGCAAACCCGCAACTCTCCACGGGCTTATCCGCATGAACCTGCGACCCGTAGTGGATAAAAATATTATTCAAAAAAAATAAAAAAAATGATGTTTAATTTTACGGGACGGGGTTATATGGTGCAACGGGTTTAGATCGATATTAATATTAAACAATATACTATGGATGAAATCTTAGAATTTAAAATCAAAATTTAATTATAAAATCAGAAACACTAAACAAAATAAACAATATTAACAAAACAAATACAATTTAAAATTTTGCTAAATAATTTTTAGTTATAAAAAAATTGACCCGCGGTGTACCGCGGGGTAAAATCTAGTGCTATACATGCATATATACCTGAAAATTGAAATCACAGTATAATAATTTGACCATAATTCCACAATTTTGAAGATTGGCCATTCCACCACCATGAGTTGGTTATTATTTTTTATTTTTTTGATAAATCCTATCGGCTGATCCGGTCAGCCCCGGTAGGAACGCACGGAAGTACTACAGAGTGGACTTCTCCCGCGGTTCAACGGTTAACCGATTCAACGGACACCATGAGCTCCGAACGGACTCGGGTCGAACGGACTATGAGATTCATGAGATCCATGAGGTCCAGAATTGGACCACCATACTGCCTGATCCGAGTTTGGAATGTCTTCCGACTAATGTCAGGGGGTAGTCAGGCAGGCCAAGGCCCAACTCACAGAAACAAATGTTTTGTTTCCAGGGAAAATCGAACTCAGGTTTGGGAGTTTCACCATTTTCCAAATATTCCTCTGCCACTAGACCATAGATGCTTGGGCCAGTTGGTTATTTTCTTACACGGTTTTTTAACAGTAGAGTTTGGAACCTTGATTCTCGAGAATTCTCTGTTAAACGATTTTTTTTTCTTTTTTTGATATACCCGATCGGCTGATCCGGTCGGCCTCGGGGGAACGCACCGAAGTGCTACCATGTGGACTCGTCGCCAACACCTAGGTGTTGGACTACCACACTGCCTAACCCCAAGTTTGGAATGCTTTCCGACTAATGCCCGGGGGTATCCAGTTAGCATGATCCCGGATACCATGTGAATTGCTTGGGCCAATGCCCAAGCCCAGACTTTCCACACAAATGTGATTTTTGTTTTCAGGGTGGATCGAACTTGGTTTAGTTCCTTCCAACATTTCTCCAATTCTCCCTTACCACTAGATCTTCACTTACATGAGTACATCTTGGCATAACTCTTTCTGCATCATCCACTAAACCTAGTTTGATTTACAAATTATAGCTCTCCCACTCTTGTTTTTCTCTCTCACATGTTTCTTTTACAAAAAAGAAGAAGAATAAAGCAAAGAAGAAGACAAAGCTGCGTTGATATGTTCTTAAAATATATGAATTTTTATAACAGAATAATAATTCAAGCTGAGCACAACAACATACGCGCCCAACACTTCTCTTCTATTCCAAATAATTAGACCATTTGAACCAAACTGGCTAAACCAAGAATCAAAACCAACAAATCCTCACATTGGCTAAACCGGTTCCATCCTTTGTCACATCCATCTTCTCCACAACGATTTCTAGTGATGTGAGCTCTATAACTTCCTCCAGCAGTTTATCAAAAAAAAAAAAAAAAAAAACTTCCTCCAGCAAGATCAACTTTGGAGCGCCTTCAACAATTTAGTTAGCATGTTAAATAAATTAAATATTCAAGCTTCAATATATGTCAACTTTAGTGTGAATTAATTTTTGTGGTATTTTTTTTTTCCAAACTAGTTTATCAATTATTAACATACATGTGAACATGGGACATGATTAAACAAAAGGGAATGACCAAATGATAGATCAATATTAGTATGGGAACAAATCAACAAATTACGAGGTGAAACTTCACACTCAACTCAATTAAAATTAGAATAAAGAAATGGAAAAAGTGAAAGAATGAGAGGTCAAATGTGGTTAATCATTATGTGGTATTAGTTAATCCATCAATTGTGTACCCAAAAGCATGATTAAGCATAGAATTTAGAGAAATAAAACATCATTATTAATGTTGAAACACAAAGATCCCATCAACAGACAAATGATAAGTACAGTGCTTGTAGGGTAACAACTTTTATTTTACAATTATATAAGAAGAAAACGATTAAAATGCCATTGCTCCAGCCTCGATTTGTAAATCATATTATATCCTTACGCATAATTCCAATAACTAAGTCCATAAATTAGACATATACACATATATTTATGTTAAATGGTTGAATATATACAAACAATTTCATAAAAAATATGGCTAATTAATTCAAATATGTGTGTACATAATCCAACCATCGCCTTTTTAGTTGGGAGTGGATACTCCAACTTGTCACTCCCACTTTCCTACTCTCTATTCCTTTTTAGCTATTTCAATATCTAAAGTTAAATATTGATCGCTATATAACCTTACCCTTTATTTTAATTTTTTTTTTTTGGTACATCCCATAACTATAGAACTACTGGTATTCACTAAAGGGATTTTGGTCTAATGTATCATATACTGTAGCAAAACTTACAGAAATTGCAACAAAACATTTATTTTTCCAAATGTGTCATAATGGTGGACAAGACTTTGAACCAAAAAATTTTGGTAGACAAGAAATGTTGTCCACCTTTGAAACAACATATTGAGAAAATATTTGGTGGACAAAAAAATTTGTCCACCCTTGAAACAACAGACTTTTGGTGGACAAGAATTCGAAACGACTTACAAAAATTTGGTTAGACAAAAATGTTGTCCACCATTATGGCACATTTGGAAAGATTTATATATGTTTTGTGACATTTTTGCTAAATTTTGGAACAGTAAATGATACATTAGTTAGATTTTTCTTCACTAAAACTTATTGTATGAAAGGTAAGTCTGATTTATAACTATTTCCGGTTTAAGATGAATAGCTAGATTGAAATATACATGCACTAATTGGACACTAGGCAGAGGTGAATTGATGATGAAATGAAGATGGAATGTCACAGTTTGTGCAAAAAGCATGTCCCCCTCCTCTCCTCCGCTTGTTTCAATTTCTTTGACTTCATCACGTTTTTGTCACTTAGTTACACCAAAAAGATACTACAGTTAAAACATTGAAAATCTTCCAAAAAAGAAAACCATCGAGGGTTTTTTTTTCTTTTTCTTTTTGCTAAAAATGCAAATATTCACTGAAAATAATTTTTGTTTAGATTTTTCAAAATTGTATAATCCAAGGATTTGATCTCATGGCAAAAAAAAAAAAGATTAAAAACATGGAAGTAAAGACAAGATCTATATATATACTCATTATCATATAAGTCTAATTGAGAGCATTTCCATCAGTGAGTGTCTCAAAAAAGAGTGTTTGAGGAATAAAAAATATTATTGTTATTATGATTTTATTTTTTAATTATATTTAAAATAATTAATTAAATTACACCAATCAAATTAAAACACTTGACAAAATTGTTTTCTAAGAGTGTTTCAAGATTTGGCAGGAGAAACGTGTTTCCTTCTCTCTCCTCTTTTTTTTTATTTTTTCATTATTTTAATTGCAAGACACTGGGTGAGACATCCTCATTGGAGATGGTCTGAATAGCTAACACAAGATATTAGAATGGAAGATGATATATTCTGAAAAACATTTGTGATGTATTTTTTATGATACATCGAAAAGAACGAGCATACACCAAAAACATGGAAAAAGTTAGATAACAAATTAACATGAAACGAGTGTGTGATATTTTAATCTTAATTATAATAATTGAAACTTCTTTATTTTTTTTTGCTGAATAATAACTATTTGAAACTTATTTTAATGTACGTAACTTTTATATTAGAAGATAATGTAATTTATTTTCTTATATGAAAATCTATACTTTATATTTTCATGCATTAAAAATTCAAATTCTATAATAAATTATTGCAAGAAAAACAAAGATTTCTCCCCCACTAAACCCGTTTATTTACGTCAGTATTTTTTCCTTTTATACATACACATGCATGACATTACACGTCAAAAGAAATAAGTCTTACGTCAGAACCTACGTATGATCAAATTTGATTTAAACAAAGAAACATATGTTAAGTTGTTAACTAAATTATATATTAATTCCTTAAAGGCACTTTAATGCATGATAATTTACAACTTTCTTTATTTAAATAATAATTTCCCCCTTTTGGGGGCTATGTCTCGTCGAGTCCCACCACCATTATAAATAATCTCATCTCTTGCTTTCTTGTTCTAAGTTGTAACCACTTCCACTCGTAATCATACAACTTCTCTACTCTTGTAGAGCAAAACCCCAAAAAGATATCGCCATCATCGTCAATGGCGGATAATAAGGTAAATCTGTCTATTAATGGACAATCAAAAGTGCCTCCAGGTTTCAGATTCCATCCCACCGAAGAAGAACTTCTCCATTACTATCTCCGTAAGAAAGTTAACTCTCAGAAGATCGATCTTGATGTCATTCGTGAAATTGATCTCAACAAGCTCGAGCCTTGGGATATTCAAGGTTCTTCTAACATTAATAAACCCTAATAAGAAGAACATTTTTCATTTCTACCAATCTCTCTCTCTTTCTTTGTTCTTTATTATTGAATCATTTTGTTATGCAAATGCAGAGGAATGTAGAATCGGTTCGACGCCACAAAACGACTGGTACTTCTTCAGCCACAAGGACAAGAAGTATCCAACCGGGACCAGGACAAACCGGGCAACAGTCGCTGGATTTTGGAAAGCTACCGGACGTGACAAGATCATCTGCAGTTGCATCCGGAGGATTGGATTGAGGAAGACACTCGTATTCTACAAAGGAAGAGCTCCTCACGGTCAGAAATCCGATTGGATCATGCATGAATATCGCCTCGACGATACTCCAATGTCGAATGTAAGTGTATAGCTATCATCAATATTCATTTTAGGTTGGAAGAAACCATTCCTAAGTTATAGTCAAAGAATTAGCTATATTCGTTTCATGCTATAAAAGGTTTTGGTTCATTTAGTACTAGCTAGAGCCGTCTTTTAGCATGTGCAATTAAAGTAATAGAATATGATTCTGATTTTAAATAAAATAATTTCTTATGGAAATTAACACATTATATATACATTTATATTATAAAATAAATTGCATAAGGCTTAAAATAGTTTAAGACGGCTCTATAATGCGACCAAAAAGCGTTGAACAAATAATGTTTATCAATGGTTGCATGTCCAAAAAAAAAGTCGCATTTATGTCGTCAAAGATTTAGTCATCTCTTATTGCATTTCATAAGATTGATTTGTTCCATTATCAGGGCTATTCTGATGTTGTAACCGAAGATCCAATGAACTACAACGAAGAAGGTTGGGTGGTATGTCGAGTGTTCAGGAAGAAGAACTATCAAAAGATCGACGATTGTCCTAAAATCACTCTATCTTCTTCAATTGATGACACGGAGGAAGAGAAGAGGCCCACCTGTCACAACACTCAAAACAGCACCGTTTTAGATCATGTTCTTCTCTACATGGACCGTACCGGTTCTAACATTTGCATGCCCGAGAGGCAAACAACGACCAAAACTCAACATCAAGACGATGTCTTATTCACGCAACTTCCAAGTCTTGAGACACCCAAATCTGAGAGCCCGGTCGACAATAGTTTCATGACTTCAAACCAACTTGGTTCTTCTCCGGTTCAAGAGAAAATTATAACCGGCAGACCTGTTTGCAGTAATTGGGCTAGTCTTGACCGGCTTGTGGCTTGGCAATTGAACAATGGTCGTCACACGTGTGATCGTAAGAGTTTTGATGAAGAAGAAGAAATTGGTGATACTATGATGCAGCGATGGGATCTTCATTGGAATAATGATGATAATGTCGATCTCTGGAGTAGTTTCACAGAGTCTTCTTCGTCTCCTTCGTCTTTAGACCCTCTTCTTCATTTATCTGTATGATTATCTATCCAAATATACATACACATACACAAAATAATAAAATATATATTACTTTCATGTAATAAAAAATAAAGTTTGTTAAAAATGTCTCATATGCTCTATGATATCATGTCTTGATTTTGGGGTTTATCATTTTTTTTTTTTGTCAACAGTTTTATTGGATTGACTCAAATTAGCCAATGTTTAGGAATATTGTTTACATAAGTAGAAAGATGCGGTAAGGTACGAACATTTCGTGCCAGTTTATCTGCTTTCACATTCAAATTTCGTGAAATTAGCGATAAAGAAAAAATCAAACTCTTTTTTTGTCGCTTTGAATCGCCTCCAAATAAGTCGTGAAAACATTAATAATGGTAGAGGGCAAACCATTTAAATATTATAATCATAATTTACGAAAATTAAAGAATGATATTATATATAGAAAACTTGAATAACGACTCTTTCCGTTGCGTACTTCTAACGTCTATATTACATTTATTTTATTTTTATAAGCTAAATGGTAGAGATGTAAAAAAAAAAAAAAAAAAGCTAACCTGTATAACTTTCACATCCCTTACATTTTTCATCATTCATTTTTTTAATCTACATTTCCTGCATGCACACTACTGAATTTAAATCCAAAATATGATATGACAATGGCCGTATTTTGTATAAACCACACGATATATATATCGTTAATATCAAGATTTATTAATCATTTCGTGTTTTATCACATTAAACGTTTATACTAGGGCTGTAAACGGAGCGGATATCCAGTTTTTTTAAGATATCCGTATCCGTATCCGTATCCGCATTATCCGCCAATTTAGTATCCGTATTCAGAATTCTGGATATTCGTTGAAAATCCGGATATCCACGAATATCCGGAAATAGTGTTTTTTTTTTTTGGACAAACCGGAATTAGTATTTTAAAATCCTAAATTCATTAATGTCATACATAAGAAGCTTAAAAAATTCACAAAATAGCTAGAAGTTGATTATACATACAAAACATTAACAAAGAATTTATTAAAGTAGCAAAAAGTTTAAAAGATTTAAGTGGTGTTCTTAAAAGAAAAAAACATTAATCAACTTCTTAAATCCTTCTTAAAAATTTCTTTTTTATTTTTTGTCGTATGATTTATTTATTAACATTAAGAAAAAAAAACAATTAAAAAGTTGGCTTTTTTTTTTTTGTCAACCACACATTAATTAATAAATAACTCCTTGCTTGGTTGCCCAATTAAAAAATTGGCTTTAACACTTGAAAAATGAACTCATAAGGCATTTAAAGTTTTTTTTTTTTTTTTTTTGCCGGATATCCGTTATCCGGCCCAAATTTTTGGATTATCCGTATCCGGAATATCCGTCATTTTACTATCCATATCCGTTTTGCCGGATATCCGTTTTTTCGGATCGAAAACCGGATACGGATACGGATATCCGCAGATAGCGGATATAAATCTCAGGCCTAGTTTATACTGGCGAATCATGAAACCAATAATGAGTGTTAATATTCGGTAGAATTTGATAATGCACATGGTGGATCCATATATATGATAAAAACTAAAATAGCCTTTTATAAAGATTATGTAATCCTTATAATATCACTATATGACTATATCTTAAAAAATATAAGACCATCTTCAATCGTTGTCTCTATTTCTTCCTCTAAATTTGGGGTTCTCTAAAAATAGAGCAGAGGTTTGCTCCAATAGTTGGCTCTATCTTTTGCTCTAAAATTAATATTCCTTTTTTAATATTTTGTTTAATTTTTCACATAGTCCTTTATTTTCAAAGTTTGCAAATTCTATCCACTTAGTTAGTTTTTAAACAAATATCTAGTATAACCATATTATTAAAATTAAATTTTATTACAACACATAAATAGAAGATCGAATGATTAATATATTTTTATTTAAGCATCATCATTAGTCGATCCAGAAGTGACCTACCGAATTATTAAATCACTAGTTATGGTGTGTTAAGTTTTTTTTTAACGACAAGTTTAATCTTTTTTATGTACTTTTAGTTTATCATTTGTGATGACATTATTTTCTAATTTAATAAATTTTATTGTTATATTTTAAATTTTAATTAATTTAGTAACTATGATTTTTAATATACACTTATGTATGTATGTAATTTAATTATATAATTTTGTTTATGTATAAAATGATACTATATTAAATTGAGGGAGTACTTTGTAAATAAAAAAGTTGTGCTCTAAAAATAGAGATATAAATAGTGTTGTTCCAAATTCATATCTCTATTTTTAAAGCAAGATATAGAGCACCATTGGAATGATTTTGCTCCAAATATAGAGTTTAAAACAAGATATAGAACATCATTGGAGATGCTCTAAATAGACAGTTATAGACGGTGTTACAATACAATATTTGACAACACAAATAACAACTGTTTGATATAATAAAAATTATAGACAAAGTCTAACAAAAATTTAGTTTAAAAAAAAAAACTAAAACCTTACAGTAATATATATATATACTGTAAATATTATAATATTGTTAGTTTATGATAGTAATAGAACCTTAGTTTTATTTTATATAAGGATTCAAAAATTATTATATTTTTATTTTTGAATTTTGTTAATTTTTAATTGTTTTGATTCAAAACTAAAATGCCTTGTAATATTCATAAAAATGTTTTGTAATAATTAGTAATTTATATAAGTTTATTGCATGAACAAAACTCGCGTATAACACGGCCATTTATCTGGATAAAGTATCATTGTCATTTTGACAAAAGACTTGTAAATAATAAATGAAGTGATATTTATTTTGACTTTCATCTAAGTAAAGTGTGCCAAACAATAACGACAGCTTTATAAGATTCTCGCTTTTTACGACATATATATTCTATATGCATTAATTCGACTTTTGGTGTAACTATGTTATCTTTTCGTTTTCCTTGGAAAATCCTCATATCGTTTTTCTCGTGCATATAGAATATATATGTCGTAAATAAGTAGATATAATACTTATTTACGCTATATATATATATATATATATATATATATATATATATATATATATATATATATATTTTTAGTGCAAATACGAAAATCCAATTATCACTTATCAAATTGCGTAACCATTAGTTTTCTTTTTCTCTTTTTGATTTTCTGACTAATATTACTATAAAAAGGTTGGGTTACAAATGGATAGTTTATAAAGAGTTACCACGAGCAAAATGTAGGACAATAAGAGGCTCATAATGAAAATTGAAAGATAAATTGCAACAGTTGAGTGCAAGTATGCCGATTGGAACACACTAAACCAGTCGTGTATGGTTATATATGGATCAAGAATTCGTTTAAACGCAAGATAATAGATCCAATTTGGCTCGAATGAATTGGAACGATGTCCTAATGAGAGAGACTACATGCTGTGATCAGTGTCGGTCCGACGTTTACTAAGATCCTACGCAAAAAAAATAATTTCTCTCTTTTTAAATTGCTATTTAAATTTCTATATAATAATAGTTTAATATCAACTGTTATTTCTTCAACTTAAACGAAAGAAATAGAAATTCAATTCAAAAGTATAAGAAAAATATAAAGCATCAAAACCAAACAAACTAGAAGTTCAAAAACCAAGAAACCCTAATTTAGTATGACAAACTGTCGAGAAGATCAACTGTTTTTTCTTTACCTTTTTTAATTACTAAAAATAAATCAAAAACTGTAAAAATAAGTTAAACTTAATGGGCAATAAAAATTTTGGGCCCTAAGCCATGGTTTATGTGGCTTATGTCACGGGCCAGTCCTGGCTGTGATTTAGTTAAATAGAATATGTCATGCATTGTCTCCAAATCGTATATAAGGAGACTTGCATTAATTGTGAGATTAAAGATCAGCTTGATGCTTCGGCATGTCGGTGGAGAACATAGCCATCAACATTTTAGCAATCAAAGTCGGAGTGGGCTGTTCAGTTTCAAAAGGGCGTAGGGCATTGTTGGTGGTAAGAGACCGAATCGAATAGTGGGCTACCAAATAGTTAAACCCTTGGTTGTTTCTTATTTTTGCTTGATAAATAACCAAACCATTTATATATCATTTTCCTTTCCAATACACTAACAAGTAAAATTAAGATGCTTAAAAAATCATGCATTTATAAATATTATGATCAGGACAATAATAAAATTCTTATGGATTACTTTACTTCCTTTTGGAAGAGATATGTGTCTAAAACATTTGAAAGAGCTAGAAAGATGACAAAGAAAGCTAAAAAGACATTCTCATTCAAAATAATTTAAGAATTATGAACAAAATTTTACTTAAATTAATCTTAATCAATATTTGATCTAAATTGCTCAAACTTTTTCAGGAAAATATTTTTTTTCCTGAACTAAGTAACCCATATAATAATATACATTCACTGTGAAAAGATTGCTGAGTTTCCCTAAAATTACTATTTTTTTACAACAAAATAAATTGAGGGTCATTATTCTGTCTACGATTCTGGAAAAATATTGAAACAATGGGAGCCCATAAGACTAGAACAGATGGTATGTCATAATCTCACAAATTTTTGTTACCATTTGAATTTTTACCAAAACAATAGAGTTGTTGGCTTTGATTGGTGAACAAAAATAAAGCTGTACAGCTTTGTACAGCTTTGACAGTTACCAATCACAAAAACTTTATGAAAAGCGGTACACTATAACATAAACAGTTTTTTTTGGACAAAAACAAAAACAAATTAAAACGGTTACGGTTAATTACGGTTATGGTTAAATACGGTTACGATTAAATACGGTTATAACGGTTACGGTTAAATACGGTTATAACGGTTACGGTTAAATACGGTTATAACGGTTACGGTTAAATATGGTTATAACGGTTACGGTTAAATACGGTTACGGATAATTACGGTTATAGTTATTTAATGACTACAATACGGTTAATATCGGAGGCGAAATCTTACGAGTTACCTAACTTATTATAATACTTTTCATAAAATCAAAAAGTATGTTACAAACCAAATTTTCTTCATTTCGAGCAAAATAACAGTATAACATATTTGTTTGAGAAAAAGACCATTTTTTATAACGTAGATTTTTTCATATGCGGTATCATTTACTTTTTTGAAAATCTTAATCTGAACATTCGATAATTGTTTTTGCATTATATGGAGTTACAATTATATTTTTAAAGTTTTAACTATGCGGTTAACCATATGGTTAAATAACGGTTTTCATATGTTTACCGTTAATTAACGGTTACGGTTAATATATTTTTTAACTGTAAATAATTATTTTTTACGGTTAACGGTTATGGTTTTTAACCGTTTTATACGGTTACGGTTGAGAAACGGTCCGTAACCGTAACCGTATTTTGGATCGTAACTAGACCAAAAGCTAACCGTAACCGTATTTTAGATCATAACTGGACCGTTTTTCAACCGTAACTGTATAAAACGGTTAAAAATCATAACCATTCACCGTAAAACTAGATTAGTTACGGTTAAAAAAATGTACTAACCGTAACCGTTAATATACCGGAAACGTATCAAAACCGTTATTTAACCGTACGATTAGCCGCACGGTTAACCGTATTATTAACCGCATAATTAAACTTTATAAAATATAATTGTAACTATGTATAATGCAAAAAAAAAAAGTCTCGAATGTTCAGATAAAGATTTCCGAAAAAGTAAATAATACAGCCTATGAAAAATATCATTAGAAATAATGGTTTTTTTCTCAAACAATTAATTTGGAATGTTATATTTCTCAAAATGAAGAAAATTTTTATTTATTATAGGACTAGTAAATTCATATTATTATTCTAACAATAAATTATTGTTCATTCTATATAATCTTAATTTTCATATGTAATTATATACTAAAGTACATTTCTATGTAATTTTTTTTTCTAAATTCTTAATATTATTTATTATGTGTACTGCTATGATGTTTCCAATCAGAATAAATTTTTAAAATTTGTTCTGCGTTATTTTTTTTGTACAGCTTTCGTGTTTTATTCTTTTGTACAGCTTTGCACTATTCCCTAACATTATACAGCTTTGCACTATTCCCTAACAGCTAACAGCTCCAGCTAACCGCTCCAGCTAACAGCTAACAGCTTGTTACCAATCAGACCCGTTATATAGTTTTCAAACATTCTGATTAGGACTAGTAGTAATCATTCTGAAGAAGACATCTATGAAAGCAATCTCAAAATTTGGGTTATGCCGACAAAATTGCACCACACATCTTCTTGACATATATTCGACCACACATCTTCGACTTATACATTATAAACTGCATGAATTAATATTGCTAGACACAAACAACTTTGCACTAATTGTTGTTAAAAACTATGTTTATTGCATTTTTAAAATATTTGAAAATCAAATTGTGGTGACTAGTGACTTACACTTGAAATGTGTATTTTCTCTATGGACATAGGTAACTAGGTAAGGGATCGATTCATCTTAAGAGTCTCAGAAATTTTATTTTATTTCAGAGCTTAATTACCGATAAATAATTTTAGTGGTGAAAAATCTCAAATTTCCATAGGTCATACGATTACTTTGGGTTTCGGCCTAGATTATTCACCGATTAATTAATCAGGAAAAAAATATATTGTTAGAGATACAAAATTTTATTATCGTATGTAAACATTAATAAATTAATAAGTAATATTTTAAATAATTTTATTTCAATCTGACTTTTCCAAAACCTGGTTAAAAAACATGTCCAGTAGCTCTCGCTTGAAAATTACCTTTTTGTTTGTCCTTTATAGAGATGACATTGGTATCCATAAGTGATGAATAATTGAAATCACTTTTGTATGTTCCCACTTGGTCAATTTTAAGCAGATTCAACCTCGACCGGTTAATATTAACAAGACAACCGACTTGTGCGTTCGGAACAAGGTTTCTATATACTCTTCAATGCAAAAGGCTCACAATGCAGTTCAATTATTTTCCTGACCTGGTTTTCGCATTACTACTCAACTAATTCGTCTAGATTTATTCTAGGATCTGGTTAACCTTGATTTTTAAAATTAAAAGGGACATCTTTGTATTTAAAAATAGCTGTGGATTGATTTACTAAATATATTTTTTAAAAGAAAAATATCTTATAGTCAAAATAAAATATGATTAGTATATATGTGAAAGAATATCCAGCAATGTTAAGAAACAAATCCTTAAAAGGGTGTTATTTGTTTGTGATTTAAATAGTATTTTGATGACTCTAATAAAATCATAGAAAGTAAATAAATGAAAGAATCTAAATGATTGCTATAGAGTTTTTTATAATCTTGTTGATTAGTTTTTTCATAATCTTGTAAATTTTCTCAAACAATCTCTCTATTTTGATGATATTTTTCATTATTTTATTTTGAGAAGAAAAGTGTAAATAATATACTAATAACATAATGTTTAATTCATTAACAATCAGAGATTCTTTTGTTTTAGTTGAATAACAAAAAGCTTTTATTGACTTTATAAAATTCTGAATCCAATAACCCCAGATTTATGAAGATTTTAGAATACTTTTACAAATAGAAAACTAATAACACCAAACTTTAAAAAAGTTAATAAAATTTTGGTTAAATAACAACAGATTCTACATAACAGTTAAAGTAATTAAAACACTATTTAAATCACAAACCAATAACATCCCCTTATAAAAATAAAATATTGTTGGTGTATATATATGGAAGATCCATCAATGGTAAGAAAGAGAAATGCCAACCTTTTCTTTATTACAATCAAAGAACCTAAATGTTCTATAAATTGAGCTCTTACTTACATTCTAGAAAATCACAGAACATATATTTTTTTTAATACACTTTACACTTGATACAACAGAGTAAAGAAAAATTTAAATGGGCATCACAAAGAATTTAGTGACTTTTTTATTCTTAATAATATTGGCTGCTCTTGTGTCCAATTACAATGTATTGGCTTCAGGTATGTTTCTATTTGTATATGTTGTTATTTTTAATTAGGTTTCATCATTTGAAAGCAAGAACATTGATATGTATGTATGATTATATATGATTTTCATGTGGTGACTTTGTGGACATGCAGAGATCAAACCTACAGGGAGAATTCATGATCAATGCAAGCAGATGTGTTCGGCAACGTACGGGAATGGTAAATGTTCCGCGGACTGTAGGAAGGCTGGGTTCTCATCCGGACAATGTCTTACCTCTTCTCCTTTCGGAAATAAATGTTGTTGCACCAAGTGATTGAAACCGATCTCTATGAGTTTTCTCTTGTTGCATTTTAACAAATCATAAATGCAATAGAATAAAATAACATAATTTGATAATTATCTTTTTCTTAATCAATGGGAAAAAACCCGAAAATACCTCATCTATTTTTTATTTGGACGTTTAATACCTAACTTTTTTTTGTTGGAAGAAAAATACCTTCTTTAATTATAATTGGTCGAAAAATACCTTATTTTTAAATTGTTGGTAGATTCAAACATCTGATTTAACGGTCGTTAACGGACATAACGATATCAGTAAATGACGTTAAATTATAACAGAAAATAGCCGAAAAATACTCAATCTAATTATTTTTGGAATTTTAATACCCCAACTTTTTGGTTAGAAGAAAAATACCTCATGTAAAATATCTTTGTCTAAAAATACTTCATTTTAAATTATTAGTGGATTCAAGTATGCGACTTAACAATCGTTAACAATATTACAGAAACATTTAACGACGTTAAATATTAACCCTGTCTATATAAATAGATATATACAATTTATTTTCAAAATTTTACAAATATATTGGTGTGATCAAAACTCAATATTACTTCGTTAATACGATCAAAACTCAATCTTTCTCGAACCATTTCTTTCATCTCTCCACTTTTACCTAAATTCTTCTCCACTTCCGCAACTATGCTACTCCACGACCACAAAAATGACAAATCTATCGTCGTCGTCATCTTTGTCACAATCTCTCATTTGTTAGTTGCAGAATCGTTACATTCCATCATCAAAATGATGTATTTAAATTTGCAGAATCTCTCATTTGTTAGTTGCAAAACCCTTCTAACTCCAACGATGCCTTTAGGAATGAAAAATGATGTATTTAAATTTGTAGGAGTGAAGCAAATGATGTATTTAAATTTGTATGTCATTCATTAAAGAAAATAGGAGATCAAAAGAAGTTCTATGAGGGTTAAAAATCATATGTGTTACCATTAGATCAAGTAATATATTTGTAAATGTTTGTATAAATATTGTATATACTAACAATTCAAAAATGAGGTATTTTTAGACAAAAATATATTTAAATGAGGTATTTTTCTTCCAACCAAAAAGTTTGGGTATTAAAAATCAAAAAATAAATAGATGAAGCATTTTTCGGCTATTTGTTTTGTTATAATATAACGTCGTTTACTGATACCGTAACGTCCGTTAACGACCGTTAAATCAGAGGTTTGAATTTACCAATAATATAAAGATAAAGTATTTTTCGACCAATTATAATTAAAGAAGTTATTTTTCTTCCAACAAAAAAAAGTTAGGTATTAAACGTCCAAATTAAAAATAGATGGGATATTTTTCGGGTTTTTTCCCCTTAATCAATAGTACTAGCTACTATCTCGATGCACAAGCAGTCCCATCTCTAGAGATAGGCAAGATAGACGTTTGTCATGGATCCAAAGTTAATGTTCAAATGTCGTTTAATGTAAAAATCCTAATTAAAAAAGATATTACTAAGAGGTTTTATTTTTATTTTGGTCCAAAATTCTTCCCATAGAGTCGATTAGCATACTCTTATTACTCTTTAATTAGCCAACTATTACATACGACAAGTTTTTTACGGGTCATCATTGATTATGTGTGTGTAATTTGATTAATGATGACCTCTTATGATTAGCTCTTTAATTCTTCCCATAGTTTCAATATGATTAGGGTTTAATTTGAGTTACGAGTGGCGGTGTACATGTGTGTATACTCGATTCGAATAGTCAACTGTAGCTGTGTTTTAACTATCCTACGGTTTGGCATTGTGAGAAAGTATCTTGAAAACATTTTGTAAAGATTCCTAATAAAAATGATTAATTAGAGATTATGATTGTAAGTTAGGTAGAAATCCGAAATTGATCATATATATGTCTATCTGATTGGACTTTAGTGTTGGACCTCTGTTGTCTCAGAAATATAGATGCAGATCACAATACATATACACGAATACGCACACTTTATTGAATAAATAACAAGTAGAGAACTGAAACCTGAAATACGTACACGAGTATGTACACTGTCTTTCTCTTCTCTACTTCAACGTAAGAACAACGTACAAGAAAACATGGTTTTGGCGACTACACTAATAGTAACAAAATCGTCGCTAAATACATAATTACGACTGTTTGGCGACTAAAACTCGTAGACGCTGAACTTTGCGTCGCTAAATTAATATGTCGCATAACAGTCGCTATTTGGCGACTAATAGGCGACCATTATTTGCAGTCGCTATTCAGTCGTCACACAGTCGCTAAGTTTGCGACTCTTTTGGCGACTGTTTTGTGACGAATCTAGCGACTGTTATGTCACTACATGGCGACTATTTTCTAAATGTTTTGGTAACTGAATTGATACTACTTTGCGACTGATTATTATCGACTTAGAATGCTAATTTTGGAAGAATAAATTGTTGCTAATTTGATTGTTATTACCAATTTATAAGCAAAAAGACTTTTATTTAAAACATAAGAACATTGTAAAATAAAACACAACATAAACATACATTATAAACATAAGAACCAAGTTCAAGTAACCAAACAACTTACACAAGTTTTCAAAGCAACACAAATGTTTGCAAGTTCAGAGAAGGAGGGAAAGTTTAGAGAAGGAGGGACCTATGGTTGTTGAGCAGTAGGAATAGCAGCAGTAGTAGCAGCAGTCGTGGCAGCAGCAGTCGTGGCAGCAGTAGTAGTATCAGTGGCAGCAGATTGAGACTTGAGGAAGGCCATAAACTTTGGGTCAGTCTCGCTCAAATACTTCTTCACCATCGCCAAATGCTTGATCTCAGCTGCTTGCTCAGCTGCGACCCGCAAAGCCTCTGCTTCACGTTCTACTTGGAGCGATGCTTGTTCCTCTATCTTCCGGTTAGCATCCTCAAGCTGTGATTGGAGTGTTGTGAAAGAAGAACTGCTTCCTGGGTACTTGCGCTTCCCGTTGATGTAAACCCCGAGGCTGCTAACACCAAAGTATTCTCCTCTGTCGTTTGTGACAGTAGACTGCATACCAAAAGAAAGAGTATTACACAGTTAGACTGCATAACAAAAGCAACCATAAATAACAGACTATTTACCTGAAGGAAGATCTCATCATCCTCCTCTTGAGATAGCTCAGATCGTCGCGAAGTCCCATCTGCTTGTTGTTGGTGTCGGATCCCGCACCAGAGGTACGAGACCAACCAAAGATCGCCACGTAATCAGGACAATGGCCCGCAAAGGATGAAGCCCATTGGATCCGCGAGCCGAAGGAACGGTCGAAGTGGTTGTCACCATTTCAAGAATCCGAAGTGACTGCACTGATGACGCGAGTTCGGTATAGGAGACACGGGTAAGTCGGTTCAAGGACAATTGGGCCAAAAGAGGCGAGGCCCATGAAGATCAGAGTCAACTCAAATTCAAACGTTGAGCATTAAATCTGAAGAATCAAAACGGACACATTTAAGAAGAAATAATTGTACTTAATTACTCATTTTAAATGTCGTTTAGCTATGTATAAATATAGAGGCCAATGGCCATGTAAAGGGGACTTCCTCGGAAGAGAGAAATAGATATCAACTTTCGTAACAATTCTCAAGTTTTTATACATTCATTTTTGTCTCTCAAGAATAATCTTTCCCACTTAATAAAATACTTGAGTGTGTGAATCCAACATCCACATTTTGGCGCCGTCTGTGGGGAGAGAAGGATTCTTGAGTGGTCAGATTTTTTCTTTTCTACATTTCCGAGATAAGCGACAATGTCCGGAGGAGACGCCGTTGAAACATCATTGGCCGAAACCCTCAAAGCTATGCAGCAAACCATGTCGGACATATCACAAAAGTTCTCGGATGTGGAGAAGGCCGTCGATACGTTGCAAACATCCCAGGTATCTCTTAGCCAAAACGTCAATAATATACAAACTCGTGTTCGCTCTTTAAGTGCAAGAAACCCGGTGGGAACCCGAAGAGGGATATTCAACTCGCCAAGTTCCGCTGCACGAAATGAAACCAGCGGACAAACAACTCCCGGTGCTACTAATAATGTAGCTCAGACGTCGGAAGAAGAGACGCAGCTCGGGGATGAAGAACAACTTGCAGCTCAGTACGAGCAGGAGAACCTCGACCAGTTCGAGACCATGAGGAAGGTTAGCCAGGAATTAAAAGAAATGAAATCAAAATTTCATCAGGCTACAAGTTCGGAGCCAGACATCAATCGAGTCATTGAAGAAGCAAGGCGAACCCCTTTTATCCCGCGAATTGCAAGTTTGAGGATCAAAGATTCCCGGAAGCTCAAGTTGGACCCTTACAGCGGATTGGAGGATCCAAAAAGCTATCTTGCAGCCTTTCTGATCGCTGCAGGAAGAGTCGAGTTGGATGAAGCTGATGAGGATGCAGGCTATTGCAAGCTGTTTTCGGAGAATCTATGTGGCCAAGCTCTAATGTGGTTCACCCAATTAGAGCCGGGTTCGATCAGCAATTTCGACGAACTGTCAGCCGTGTTCTTAAAGCAATATTCTATCCTTATGGATAAAAGCGTTTCGGATGCCGATCTTTGGAACTTGACGCAAGGATCTAATGAGTCACTTCGAGTTTTCATCACCAAATTCAAAGGAGTGCTATCAAAACTCCCAAGAATCTCACAGCAATCAGCTTTATGTGCCCTACGAAAGGGATTGCGACATGATTCAAGGTTTAAAGAAGACTTAATACTTCATAAACCAGATACAATTCAGGATGCACTCTTCCGTGCAAACAATTGGATGGAGGTAGAAGACGAAAAAGAAAGTTTTGCCAAACGGAATAAACAAGAAAAGCCGGCAGTCACCGTCCCTACCAAGAAGTTCGAGCCTAGAGAGAGCAAAGGACCAAGGAAGTTTGGGTCGCAACCCTTCAACAATTCCGTCGGGAAGCAATTCCAAGGGAAAGGAAGATCAAACACTTGGGTCCGTGATGAAAGTCTATATTGCGACATTCATAAAGTAACCGGACATTTAACCAAGGATTGCAGCGTTCTTAAAAAGCACCTCGCAGAGCTTTGGGCTAGTGGTGATCTTTCTAAATTCGATATAAAAGATTTTGTGAAGGAAT